CTCTGGGCCCATAGCTGACTCATCCAGCCTTGGGGGTCGAGGGGCCTAGCATGGCTGGGAGCAGCTAAGGAGCTAAGACAGTGCTGGGCTGAGTGGTGACATGCCCCCAGGACAACCCTGTCCCTCTGCCTGTCTAACGGTGTTACCTCCTTGAGATAAGATGCTCCCAGAGTTGACAGCTGAAGGACCCTGTCCACTCCAATCTGTCTGACCCCTGCCACTCCACGTTCCCCGGTTTTATATGACAGGACTCTGCCAGACTGCCACCTCCTCCAGGAAGCCTTCCCGATTGCCCTGCCCTTGTGCCTCCCCCTGGAGCTCCTCCAGGCTCCTCAGCAGACACAGAAGCATTAAACTTTTCTGCTTGTGTCCTGGATCCCTGATTTTCCAGGGAAGTTGGTGATGTCCCTGACAGTCCATGCACCCTGCTCCCCTGTGGCCCCGGTGCTTGGGTGGGCACAGAACAGGCAGCCCTGGAGGAGCGAATGAGTGGGTTGGTGGGCACACTCAGAGCAAAGCAGAAAGACCACAGCCTGGGCACCCATTAGGGTCCCCCACATCCATGCCCACAGCAGACTCCACTTCTTTCCCCATGCTCTTGGAGCTGCATGTAGAGCAATGGCACCCCACTAAACACGGGAAAATTGAGGTGCAGGCACGTGGGTGGACGCATTCATTGTGCAGGTAGGAAAACTGAGGCGTGCTCTGCCCAAGAGATCTCAGTGTGTCAGACCCGAGTCCTGGGTTCCCCCCAGGCATCCAGGACAGGACCCTGGGCTGGGCTGTGGAGCACTTTTCCCTTCTGGGGTGCTGGACTCTGAGCCCCAACAGGCTGAGCTGCACCGAGCTGTCAGGAGGGATCAGCAGCCCCGGCATCTCCCCAGATTTAATTAACGAGTCTTTCATCTCGGTCCGGGAGGAGTCAGCTATCTTCTGTCTCCTTAATTAACGTTCATTAAGCAAATCAGAACAACGGAGGCTTCGCTCCCTCCTCCTTGCCTGGAAGGTTTTAACCCTTGGTGGGTGGGCTTTGGGAGGGGATCCGGGACAGCACTGGGCGCTGGGCACCTAAGCGCCCCTGCACCCCCCCACACAGGTGGGGATGAACCCGCCCACCCGCAAGCACCTCCAGCCCTACCCAACTTCCTTTGGGACAGTATAGGCCTGCTGTCACTTCAGAACCGCACACAGCTCCTGTGGCTGTCCTGTGGCTGCCCTTGCCTAGACCAGAGTCCGTCCCTTCACCAGCCCAGCCTCACCTCCCTTGTTCCCTGCACCCCCACACATTGTCCCTTCCCACCCCTGCTCTTTAAGGCACGGAAGCCCTGTCCACACAGTCCCTTTCCCGCCCAGGTTGCTGCTCCCAGAGAGAGGCCAGACAAAACTCTTCTGGAGGACAGGGTTCAACGTTAGCAAGCCATGTGACCTTGAATCCAGAAACTGGTGCCTGCACGGCCCTTGCAGGGGCACTTGGCCTTGGGATGGGGGTTGGGACTTTCATTCTTCAACAGGGCTTAGAGACTGGGCCTCGCAGTTCCAAGCTAGAGGGAGAAAGGCCACGTGGCTTGAAGCATCTGCAGGTTTAGGGTGACACTGGAGGTTTGGGGTCAGACACTGGCCCATCCCAGAGGCTCCTCTTGGGGACCCTGGGCCTTGTGTATGCTAGGCATGGCTCTGCTACTGAGCCGCCCTGCAGCCCTTCCAAACCTCATCTTTACAGAATGGCACAGGGGAGACTCCCCGCCAGAGGAGTGAATATGTGGGGTTCGCACAGAGTAGACTTCCCACCCACCCACACCAAGGAGTGAGTGTGGGGTTGGCATAGGGTGGACCCCCCACCCCCCCACACCAATGGGTGAGTGTGGGGTTGGCACAGGGTGGACCCCCACTCCCCAAGGGGTGAACGTGTGGGTTGGCACCGGGTAGACCACCTTTCAGAGGAGTGAACGTGGGAGTTAGCACAGGGTAGACCACCTTCAAGAGGAGTAAACGTAGGGGGTTGGCACAGGGTAGACCCCTCAGCCTCCCTAAGGTGTGACCATGGGGTTGGTACAGGGTAGACACCCCCAAGAGGTGACCATGGGGTTGGCACAGGGGTGAACGTGTGAGTGAATCCTGAACACACTGAAATGTTAGCAGACCAGGCTCCTTGATAGACATGTGGCCATGCCCTCTCATGGTCCAGCACTGCACATGGGCAGTCCCTATCTGTCCTGCTTAGCCCTTTCCAGCTGTTACAGGTAAATTCATTGCCACTGTCACCCATATCTTGAGAGTCCTGAGACTTCGAGGGTGCACAGATCCCCTGTGCATTGGAGGCACAGTAGACTGTGCCCATCCCAAACCCTCTCCTAAGAAGAGCCAATCATATGGAAGGGAGGAACTTGGCCGCTTACTGTCCTGACACGCCACTTCCCCACTGAAGGCCCCAGTTCCCGCTTGGTACAGCCAGACCCAGACCTCAGGGATTTTACAGGGATCCCAAGACTCTGGGAGTTGGGTGACAGCCACAAAACCCTCACAGGAGGGAGAAATGGAAGCATTGGGCGCACCTCCCCTCACCCAGCATCATCCCCACTGGGCCTGAAATGTGGCACCCACCCATCTGCCTCTGCCTGGACAGAGACTCCCCAAAATTTGTGGTGAGTGTGGGAGCGAGTGTCTGTCCTGGATAGTGGGATGAAAGATGGCTGAAGGCCCACAGGCGGTGGGAGCCCTGGCTCTGCCCCATCCTGCTGTGTATTCCTGGGAGTCACTCCTGTCTCCGAGGCCCTCTGGAGTTGTTTGCCCAGTTACAGGACGGTCCCAGGCTGTACATAGCTGCCACGCGGGCCCTCGGTGGCAAGGGACAGGTCTGGAGGAGAATGAGGCAAGTAACCTTCCCTGGACTTCATTCCCTTCTCAAGTCAGATTGGCTGACTCCTGATCAACTCCGCACAGCGATGCCACCCTGGGCTACCATGTTTTGGGCCTCTAGGGGGCCAGAGAGGCTTGTCCCTGTACTACAGCCAATGTCGCCACCTGGTGGTTGACACTGTACAGCTTGGGGCTCTGGAGAAAGGCACTCATGGGTGCCTCTAAGACCTCTTCTGAGGTCACCTGCCAGGGCAGGGATGCTGGCCCAGTTGGTGATCATCCAGTTGGCCCTGAAAGGGGCCATGACCTCTAGCCCAGGCTCCCAAACCAGCCTGGAAGTTTGTGCATTCCTCAAACATGCCCTGGATGCACCGGGTACAGGCATCCTCTTTGATGGTCTTTTCCTGCTCATTCCGTCAGGGGCGGGGCGGGGCGGGGCGGGGCGGTACCTCTAACAAGCAGCCCAGCCTGCTGGGATGGAGAGCAGGTCCTGGTGATGGGAGGAGGCTGAAGCAGGTGCCATAGTATCAGTCCCACACCATGCCATAAACTTGTCTTTGTCCTATACAGGGACTGCAGGCTGGGTGCTTTCAAGAGGCAAGAGTCAAATGTGCCTCACCCTGGTGTCCCCAAGGCCCACACAGTGAAGGTGGACAGAGGGCGGTGCTTGCCTGAGCCCAGTCTAGCCAGCCTTCCAGGGTCACGGAGCTCTCTCTTACGACTTGTGTGTAGAGTAGGATCTTGGCTTCACGGGAGGGATCATTGTCAACGATCTGGGCTCTGAGCTGCACGTATTGCTCCAATGTTTAGGTTTTTCTGATGGAGCCTTATTTATGTGCTCAGGGAAAGGTTGGAGGGACCTGAAGGGCTGCCACATAGAGCATTGCTCTCAGGGAATCTGCTGTCGTAACAGTGCAAGCACCTCTGTCGGCTCTGATTGAAATGGCTTCCTCCCCGGGGCTGGGCATCAGGAAGCTAGGGCTGTGGCTACCACATAGGGGCCTCAACACACACTGTAGAGCTGAAACAGATAAGGCAAACCTGCCCTTCTCTGGGACCTCCTGTGTACCAGAACATCATGTCAGAAGGGCAGAAGACAGCCCCAGGGATGCTGGCTGCAAAGGCAGCTGGACAGAGAAGATTTGGGGGCAGTCTTAGTGGGGCAGAGGCTGTGGGCTCTGCCACAGCCACATGGGTGGTACAGAAAGGACCCGAATGCCAAGTGGCTAATGGCTTCTGTGTGGATCCCTCGCCTACTCAGTCTCTCAAGCAAATCAGCAAAAGCTCTATATGGTTGAACTGAGAGAGTAACTAAGAACCTCACCTAAGTCGAGTCCCTGACTGAGCATTACTAGGGGTGTAGTGGGGGAGTCGGCTCTGCTCTGCAGCCAGGGGCAAAGGGCACTGGCCTCTCCAGTCTGCCATTTCCACAACACTGCCTCCAGATCACCCCTTCCTGTGGGTCCAGCCCACACAGGCCATCCAAGTGTTATTCAGAGGGGCAGAGCTGGTCTGTATTCATCCTGTAATTATGTACCAACTCTACATGCTCGTGAACCAGCTTGGCCTTTCCGTTCCACCAGCTGTTCATGCAAGAAACCCCTGTGACCCCCATATCCATCCGAGTGAGGAAGGAAGCCCCAGAGGCAGGCAGAACAAGGTCCTCACCACAGGTTCACACCCGTGCCTGACCCCAAGGGAACCACTTCCCTATCCCTGACCCTCACTCACATCCATGCAGGGCTGGAGGCTTGCTGGGTCTCTCCACCCCTAGGCCTGGTGCGTCTGACAGTGTCCAGCTCAGGGGGGTGTCCCTTTCATGAGGTCATTTTGTTTCACTGTCTACAAGGGTCCTTAGCAGCCTTGGGAAGGACATACTCTTGGTAGAGAGAAGAGGAGGCCTCTGCTGATGAGAGGGAGCCCCCTTGAAAAGTAACAGATGGATAAATAAATATATCAACTTTGGGAGAAGAGAAACCAGGTACGGCAGCCACTTTTGAAGTAGAAATGAGGACAGGTTTGGAGGGAAACTCCCAGAGGTCATTCTGCCAGGTGAAGGAGACCTGTGCTTGCCTTGCCCTTCAGTTCATGAGTGTCCACACATGCAAGGCTTCCATAGAAAGGTCCCACTAGCAGAATGAAGCGGTGTCTCTGCCAAACCCATTTCGCAGAGAGAACTGCAGGCCAGGCTTACAATACGGGTCACCGCAGCCCAGCCAAAACAAGCAGGCACTCCCGGGCACGTCCAGCAGGTGGGGGTGAGCACGAAGGGACTGAGGTCGGACGGTGGGGTGTCGCCTGCGTGGGTCCCGCCCTCAGATGCCGTCGGGTCCCGCCTGCAAGGGAGGGCTACTGGGCCAGTGGAACGCAGAAGGGCCGAGCACCAAATGCAGCCTAGAGGGGACCGCGGCACAGCCCGAAGCCGGGCGCGGGCCATGGCTGTGTCCGGGGTCCTGTCCCGCCTGGCAGCGGTGGCGTCAGTGGCGCCGGTGTCCCTGGTGATGCTGGTGATGCTAGAGGCGCATTGCGCAGCGGGTGCGGGCATGGGCTCTTGCTACGACGACGCGGGGCGCGCACAGCGCTGTCTGCCTGAGTTCGAAAATGCGGCTTTCGGCCGACGGGTCGAGGCCTCACACACGTGCGGACGGCCCCCAGAGAACTTCTGCCCGCACGTGGGGGTGCCAGGCGCGGGACCACAGTGCCAGCGCTGCGACGATGCCGACCCCCAGCTCCGCCACGACGCCTCCTACCTCACAGACTTCCACAGCCTCGATGACAGCACCTGGTGGCAGAGCCCATCCATGGCCTTCGGGGTGCAGTACCCCACTTCGGTTAACCTTACCCTGCGCCTAGGTAAGCATGTGTCCCCTGTCACCTTGTCTCCATTCCACGGAGGCCCAGGCAGAGGAGGAGGGCTGTGCAGCTGGGGCGGGCTGCAGGAGACCACCCGGGGGGGCACCCCTAAGGGCAGGAGAAAGCCTCCCTCGGCTTTGGCAGAGCTGTGGAACTGGGTGCAGCAACAATTCCCAGAAAGAACGGTTAGGGAAGTGGAGGGGGTGACACCTCCATGGATAACCTGGTCCAGGCAGAGACTCCAAATCTATTCAGCTTCAAAGACCCAGTGAACCTCCAAGGTTGTGAGCACTCTGGGGCAGCTGCCACCACACCCTGGGCAGGACAGACTTTTTCTTCCTGCCACTGGATAGCCACCTGGGGCATTTGGCGTGCCCCCTCTGCCTTCCCCACGATTTGCCCCACCCAGCCTGAGCCAAGGTGTGGTAGCATTAGACCCCTGAAGGTGGGAACCCAGGGCCCCACTTCCACCCTGAAGCTGGAATATTCTCTGACCACTCTAAGCTCAAAGGAGCCCAGTGTCCTTGGGTTCCTTGCTATGTCCTGGACACGGTGCAAATCTTCCAAAGTTTTGATAACTTGGATTTGATATTTTCATAACTGACTTTGGCACTAAACCTGACCTGAGGCTTTATAGACTTTGTGTATCCCAGTAAGAGCCAATATTCATATATTTTGCTGCTGAAATCTCATTTGAGTACAGCCGACAGCCCCAGAATGAAGCCCGTTAGGAAAACGCTCCATTCCTTAGCTATATGCATCCTCAGAATAATACCTCAGAGAAGTCCAAAACACACCTGGAGCTGAGTTTGGATACCAGATGGTGAACTGTGTCCCCATGAAAACCTGGAAGCTCAGAGAGGTTAAGTGTTTTGTGCACAGACACACAGCTGCTAAGTGACAGTCAGGACACAAACATTCCTATGCACTTGGCATGTGCTGGACCTCTCATGACTAAGCTGGTCCTCCCTAGACATGGGTGGCAAAGCCCTGGCAAGGGCTAAGAAACAGCCTCATTTTCGGAAAAGAGGTGGGAAGGATATTTAACCCCCTCAGCAGCGCAGGCAGGCACATTCCTCTTGTACCCCAAACCCATTTCCAAGGGGTGACGACGACGTCTCTCTGATGGAACTTGGATGAGGTGGGGTCTGCCCAGACAGGAAGCAAGAAGTTAAGGGAGTTGGTTAATGAGGCTGGCAAGACCCCAAGGCCATGAGAGGAATCTGGGGCAGGGTGGGGGACTGTGAGGGAGACACAGTATTCCCTAACAAAGGCTGTCACATGTGCCCATGAAATCCAGATGCCAAGGAGAGGGCTCAGGCCTCAGACATGGGGGCGGAGGACAGGGTGGGAAATCCTGCATTTGCCTTAAGGGGCAGCCCTGTTCACAGTGATGCTTGTGCTATGCCTGATAAATGCTCCTGCAACCTTTAAATGCTTCAGCCAGCAGCCTCCGGGCATCTTAGATCCTGGGCTGTGGAAGCAAGCAAAGATGCCACGTGCTCACACATGGTACAAGGCACGTACATCTGGTGGGTCCTCCCCTAGGACAGCATTCCTCCCGTCCTGCTGGACAGCACCAGGCTCATAGGTGGAAGGCCAAGAGTTTGTACTATGAATGAATGAAGGAATGAAAGAATGAATGAATGACAGTGTCACACTTCATGCTGGCTCTGAAAGAGGGACAGGGTAGCAACCATGCAATGGGACTTTGGACTCAGGCAAAGCACAGCCACTACTGGGAAGCTAGGACTCCATGTTGCACCTCAGTTTCCCTGCCTGTACTGCGGGGACAAGAGGGGGGCTGGGGTAGTGACTCGGTGGAGTGTTTGCCTAGCATGTACAGGCCCTGGGTTTGATCCCCAGCACTAAATGATACTGATGGTACTCAGGAGAATTAAGGAGGAGGCTAGCCTTGCCCTGTCTCAAAAAGAAGTTGCTGCCTATGAGGCCAGTACTGCAATGACAGGTGTTCAGAAAGCCCTGGTGGGGGCTGAGACCTGTGGGTGGGCTCTGTATCAGGGAATATGAGCTCACCCTGTCCCACAAGACATCCGGACCTGAGGCCTGATTGTGATGGCCCAGTTGGAGGCTGGGTGTTTCAATTTTGCTGCAACTAATTCATGGACTTATGATATCCAGGGATCAAAAGTCCCCTGGCCATTGGCTGAGGTGGGCTGGTGACACCCCACCAGTCTGCTGCCTCTGTCTGATAGGTCTCCTTCCCTTTCATCAAGGCCCCTGGGAGGGGCAAGCAGAAGGCAGCTCTGGTCAGGGTCTCCTGGAGGGGGTGAGGATGAGGAGTGGGAGAAGAGGAGGCGGAGGTCAGCGAGGGATGGAGGTCACAGCGTTCCCAGCTCCCCGCAGCTCCTGACATCTGGTCCAGATCCTATCCCGTAGTTGCTGCTGAGCCGGGCCTTCCTGCCTGGGATGAAAGGCCACAGTGGGGATGGTGAGGTTGGCTGCTTCCCTGAGGCCTGGAGAAGACAGCAGGGCTGGGGTGAGGGGTGGATGGGGAGAGGAGGAAATACAGGGACACGGGGAGACAGACTGTTCAAGGACCCAGCAGTGATTATGCCTGCACCAAGGACACTCTGGCCAGCGATTCAACCGGGCGGAATTTATACCTCACAGATGGGGAAACTGAGGCTCTGAGGATAAAGTCAGTTGTTCAGGGTCATACAGGGCAAAGAGTGACTCCACTCCGAGCTCTGCTATTTGCCCTAAGACAGAGTGGGAGGGCAGGCTGGCCTGAGCTTTCTTACCTCCATCCCAGAGAAACCGGAGTGGCGGCTCTTGGTGTCCTCTTGTCTTGGATTGTCACGACTCTCCCAGGACCCATAGAAAGATGCAGCTGGGTCCCAAGCTCCCCAGATGGAGGGGGAGGTAGTCAAATAGGCCACTGACTCCCCACCTGCCCGGTACTTCCCTTGGCTCTTGGCCGTAAGAATACAGCTATACCCATGACTGCGGATCAGCCATAAGACACCATGGGAAGAATCAGAGCTCTGAGAACACACATGAGGCATAGAAGCCTCAGTTGGGGCAGGGGAGTCAGCACCGGCCTTTCAAGACCCGAAGGTGCTAAGGGTTGAGAGAAGTCAGAACACTCCAGATCTGAGGGAGCAGACAGTCGCAGCCCCACAGATCTGGACTCTCCAAGCCTAGATGGCCCTAGAGGAGGGGAGAAGAGCAAGGAGATTAAGCAATCACAATGAAAAGGTCTGGCTCAGAATGGGTGCAGGGACCCCCCCAAAAGCCCCAAGACTCCGAAGTCTCCTGAGTTTCGGCTCAGTTTTGTCTCCTACGGAGTGGGTGGTATGTTTGCCTTGGCTAGGACTGGAGCCTGGGGACAGAGTCCTCAATCCACCTCCTCAGGGGATTTGACTGGAATGCTAGGCCCCAGGCAGGTCAAGAGTCAAGGCAGTGGTCTTGGATGGCCTCCCTCCACCCACAGAAGTGGCCCTGGGCCCAGCTGGCCTTGCCCCCACTCCTCAGTCCCTCACACAATGTTCCAGGAGCTGCAAAGGTGGAATATCCTACAAGGGGGGAGGAGTAAGTGGTTTCCCGGTCTCCCAGGATCCCTTTCCACCTTTTCTGTTCTGACAATGACCATGGTTCTCTCCGGGCCACAGAAAGGCCACGGCTCTGCTCTTCCTTCCTGCTGGCCTTGCTGTAAACACCCTCGTGTCTTTTCAACTTCTGGTAACCCAGACTAGCTCATCAGCCAGTGGACACCCACTAGATGTCAGATCCCAAGCCCTGGGGATGTGGCAGAGGGCCTGTCTGTCCACTCAGCTTAGGGTGCCCTCTTTCAGGAACTTCCCGCTGGGCCTGCACTCACCTGCCTTCCTGCCTTGGCCCTGTTTGCCACCATCCCCAGCTCTGAGCTGCCACAGAGAGGAGGAGCGCCTTTGTTTTAACCCCACACCCAGCGCCAGGCCCCCTGCTCAGGCCCCCTGGTCAGTGTTAGTCGTGGGTACCCAGGATGACCCAACAGTGGCTGAAGTTCATTCGTGAGCCTGCTGCACAAGAGCCTCGCAGACATCCAATTGCCTCGCCCTCGAATTGTTATGCTCATTTTGCAGACAGGGAAACTGAGGCACAACACTGAGGAGTCAGGCATTTGATCGGTGAATCTCCAGTACCCTGTGTTCTCTGCTGGAGCAGGGGAGGGTGCTAGTGGAGAAATGTTGCATGAAGGTCGGCCCTTCTAGAGGCATTGATGAAGTCTTCCAAAACATGGCCTCCTCCCTGCCTGGCCCCGGCCCTTCTGAGGTCAGCCAGCCCCTACTCCACCTAATGGCCTGACTTCACAGACTAGAATCATGATCACCCTCTGAGATGACCCTCCCTCTCCCAAAGGCAGCACTCATCTTGGTCCAGCTCCCCACCTGAGCCCTCGACTGGGTCATTTAAATAGCTTCCCTGGACCTCATGCACAGGCCCAGGAGCAAAGGCCCCTGAGCGCTCCCTCCCAACAGTCAGGTTTAGCGCAGCTCAGCTGCGTGAGGACCATCTCCACAGTGCAGGGTTACACAGCCCAGAAATGAAGCAGAGAAATGTGTGCTACAACAGGAGTGAACACTGAAGCTATGTGCTAGTCACATGCGACACATATGTCATGATTCTACTTCTAGAAGGTTCCTGGAGCTGTCAGATTCATAGAGCCAGAAAGTAGAACAGGGCTCTGAGGGGTTGGGGAGAGAAAGGAAAGCAAGTGTTTAAGTGGACAGTGTTGGTGACTGAATAGCTGTGACTTAATACTGTGGACTGAGTGTACATGGACTGTACACTCAGAAACCATGGACTGCACACTCAGAAACCATGGACTGCACACTCAGAAACCGTGGACTGCACACTCAGAAACTATGGAGTACATGCTCAGAAACCATGGACCGCACACTAAGAAACTGTGTACTGTACACTCAGAAACCGTGGACTGCACACTCAGAAATGGCTAGGAGCATATGCTTTGTTTTATATACTTTTTAAAAAGA